GCCACACCCCTGACAGCACCACTCATTAGCCTATTAGGCCGCACCCACATGTTACCAGAAGTGTGGTCATCCAGCCACACCCACCTTTTGCTTCTTATTCTGTTTACCTTGTTTGTTGTCAAAACCCAGAGCTTTTTTGTAGCAGAGACTTCTTTGCATGTTAGGCCACACACCCCTAATGTAGCCAATCCTAATGAGTTTCTGCTGTTGGGTGTGGCCTATTATGCTAATGAGTTCCTGCTGGGCATGGCCAACTCAGGAGCCAGCCGGAACTCCGTTCCTGTGCGTTCCTGCCCCAAAATAGCCCTGAGTGAGACTAATGCAGGCTGTGGAAGGTCAGTAGTTCAGCAGTTCGAGACCCAGGGTGCCGCATGATGGGGTGAGCTCCCATCTCTAGTTCCAGCTCCTGCCAACCTAGCAGCTCGAAAGAAAGAAATTGCAAGTAGATAAATAGGTACCACTTCGGTGGGAAGGTAACAGCGTTCCATGCACCTTGGTGTTTAGTCATGCTGGCCACATGACCACGGCAACGTCATCTGACAGCGCTGGCTCTTCGGCTTTGAAACGGAGATGAGCACCGCAACCCTAGAGTCGGATTCGACTGGCTTTCGAGCAAGGGAACCTTTACCTTTTACAGACTAATGTATTTTTTTAAATGCGGTCAGAAAATAGGTCTTTAATTGCAGCTAATAGACACAGGGGAGGAGAAGATAGAGATTTATGAATCCTCTACCCTTATCAGAAATGGTGCTCAGCACCCCCCCATCAGTCTTCCATTTTGAAGGCGGCTTCCAGCGTCCCTGTTCACGCTCCGCTATTCCTTCCAGAACAAACCTTCTCGACGGCCGTAACCTCTTGTGACTGGACTAAGAGGCCTGCTCCCACTGATGGCAGCCAGCCCAGCGCCTCAGACTGGGATTCATGTCAATGTGAGCAAAATGTCAGGAGAAAGAAAGCACCGCGGGATCGGATGGATGCTCACAGGCCCCAAAGGGATCACGCAGGTAACGACAGGTGTAGAACTTGGGGAGACGGGCGGTGGTGAGGGAATGTTAAGCAGTGAAACAGGATATTGAGGTGGGGAGAGCCATTCTTTCTGATTTGACCCCATTGCCTCAAAAGCCCTTAGTCCTGGTAGTGAAAAAACCACTCTGCACACATCTCAGAGGAACCGTTATTTCTCCTGTTCCTGGGCTGAATTAGCTGCAAGGTCATCTTCACTCCTTCCCATTATATTTTGGCAGGTTCAGGTCCTATCCAGTTGTGGCGCTTTCTGCTGGAACTTCTCCAGGATGGTTCATGCCAGGCCTTCATCTGCTGGACGGGGAACGGTTGGGAATTCAAACTCCGGGATCCTCATGAGGTAAGGGCCCGTTTTTGCCCCCCCCGGGCTATACATTATGCATAGGGGCTGTTCCTAAGAATGACTCTGCTGATCCCAGCACAAAAGATAATGCTGATATTTGAGGAATTTTTCTCTTACAGTGGAGAAAAAGCATGTTTCTAGTCCTTATGAAGGTGGGAAGCAGTAGAACAAATAGGCACGATTGGCAAGCAATATCAGCTAGTATTATTTATTATTTTATTGTATGGTAGAGTTACACAGAGGAAGCATATAACAATATAAAATATGGAACCAAGTTGACACAACCGGTGCTATGCAGACTGATTGGGCAATCCCCCTAAATACTAATATCTACATTTTTAATCTACTCAATCGTAGCTGGGGAGAGTTTCTCTTGTTGGCAGGTCCCAGGTATTTCAGGGAAGGAGGGTGCAGAAGAGGTCCTTCTCCTGTGATCCGGGGTAGATGCCAAAATATTTTGTGGGGGCAATTTTCTGATCAAACCTGAGAGGTAATGTTGCCCTTCCCTGCCTTCCTGTTGATATTTCCCTTGATTGTATAAGTCTCTGTTTTTATGAATTTTACTGTTAAAAGTTTACTTAACAAAGAAAAAAATAATTAAAAAATCATAGCTGGGGAGAGTGCAAAGAGCTCTGTCACATCTCCCTGGAAAGCACAACGCTCACATTCCTGTGACAAATGGGAAATCGTTTGGTGGTTTTACACAATAGTTACCAAGGAAAACAGTGCTCAATGTCCCAATAAACTTTAATGTAGTATATTCATTTGTATATCTTGCGTTTTTCTGTTCTTTTACCTAAGTTCTTTGAAATCTTACTAGAGGTTGCAAATGACCTTTCTCATATTCTACCATTGCATTTGGGTCCTGGTATTCTGCCCCATTTAAACAACAGATCTGCACAACTGCCAAAGCCTGTTTGTATTCCATTAGCCGTCTTCCATCCTTTACGTGGCAAGTCACATCCTGCAGGTCTCTCAGTGTTTATTAGGTTATGGATATTGGATGGAACTGATTGCATCCATGTTTGTGACAATTCATTCCCTAGATCGAAATTTTGTGATTACAGGATTTGTGCAAATCTTAATTGCTGGGTGTCGGGATCTTAGTTTAGATAGGCCCCTTGACAGCCATGTCTTTGGGGATGGGCAACTCTCTGTTTTCGATCTTTCTATATTCACGAAGAAGAGCATCCTGTCTTCGGAGATGCTGGGGAGCGATGTGGCACAACGTGGGTAGTCAATAGGTTGGGGTGGGGTTTAATACATCAACTGACGGTTCTCATTGTTGCATTGCACTGGACATCAAATTTGCAGACATGGGGGGGCTGTTGAGCCACGCCGAAGCACTTGATAACAGCGTCTCATTCTGATCGCTCCAGCCTGGAATATATTTTCCGATATCCCATACCACTCCACGTCCCGGCTACTGGAACGGAAAGTCCAACCACTGTTGAACGCTACCTGCTGGCAAAGCTCTCTCTTGCTAAATGTGTTCCCTTCTCTCCTCTGCTCCCGCCAGGTGGCACGGCGCTGGGGCCAGCGGAAGAACAAGCCCCGCATGACCTATGAGAAGCTGAGCCGGGGGCTGCGCTACTACTATCACAAGAACATCATCCACAAGACCAGCGGCCAGCGCTACGTCTACCGCTTTGTCCGCGACATCCGGGGCCTGCTGGGGGAGCTGGCCGAGCAGCTAGAGAACCAGAAGGGGAGAATGCCGGCCTCGTAGACGTCCTCTGCCTCCAGGATTGCTGCGGAAAAATCATACTGGCACGGCGTTGCTTCTACGGGTTCCCGGGTGCTATGGTCATAACGGGGAGACCCCGCCAGGCAATCGCTCCATTTCAGAGACATGCCAACTGGCAAAGTGCTCCAGGAGGCACCAGAAGGCAAGACCCTGGTGGGACGAACTGGGACTGTTCGGACACTCAACATGCGAATCCTGCACTTCTTTCTCCCGCTCTCTTTTTTTACAATACAAAGGGTGTATATAGAGGAAATGTACAGAATAAAAAATGCGCTGTTTTAGTAGCTTGCCATTTGGCTCATTGCATATGCTGCAGTGGACACGTAAGACAACCAGAACACGAGAACGATTTAGAAAGATGCAGGATTTAAGACTTTGGAAAGGAAGTAGATTTTAGACATTGTGCACAGTCTCCCCAAAATCAGCCCCCCCCCTTTTTAAAAAGAGGTTCTGGAACTCTCAAGAGGGAAATGCAGTTTTCAATCTGTATACTGAAAACTCATGAACTTCTGAACATTTTAAAGGGAATTTTGTCAAATCTGTCCCAGTTCGTCCCCCCAGAAAAAAAAGCCCGGCCCAAAACAGTTTCAGAGGGGTAGCTGTCTTGGTTTGCAGTAGAACAGCTAGATTCGAACCCAGTAGCACTTGGGAGACCAACGAGTTGTTGGGGGTATGAGCTTTCGAGAGTCAAAGCTCCCTTGGAAGCCCATACCCCCCCCCAATCTTGTTGGTCTCTTAAGGGGCTACGGAACTCTAATCTAGATCTCTCAAAAGCAGAACTTGCTGTGGCAGTGGCTTTTGTCTCGATGTGTGTGCCTGAGCCGTGTGGTGGAGCCTTTAGGAGGACCCCTGGGACTGGGGACGGGGTGGGGCCGAGTTTACATCTCCTTCTACCAGGGAAGCCTACAGGGTGATCTTGGGCCATTTGCTCTTGCTCAGCCTCACCAACCTTGCAGGACAAAAATTGACGCCAGCGGCGCCTGAAAGGCCAACAAGATTTACTAGGGTATAACCTTTCTGAATAGAAGCTCACTTCGTCAGACGCAAATGAGAAGGAAGACCCATCTTGCCCTTCTATCCATGTGGGAAGGGTGGCATCCTGACTCCGTAACACTCCCTCCTGCCTTCTGACCAGGCTAAAGGCACTGATGGATCTTCATTCTCATTTGTATCTGACAAATTGGGCTTTGATTCACAGAAGCCTATATTCTGGTGAGTTGTTCAGGTGGGTAGCTGTGCTGGTCTGTTGCAACAGAACAAAGCTTGAGTCCAGTGGCACCTTTTAGACCACCAAAGTTTAATGCTGAGTATAATAAGCTTTGGTGTGCATGCACACAAAGGCTCATACCCAGAACGAAACTTTTTTTGGTCTTAAAAGGTGCCACTGGACTCAAGCTTTTTCTGGTGAGTTGGGTGTTGGTCTTTCAGGTGCTACCAAGCTCTAATTTTGTTTTACTACTACAGACCAAGGTGGCTACCCACATGAAAGTACCTTACCAAGTCATTATTGTGAGGATAAAATAGGAAAGGACTTTGTTTGACAGCCCCCAGGGAACGGGGAAGAGGAGGAGGAGATTGGATTTATACCCCGCCCTTCACTACCCAAAGGAGTCTCAGAGTGGCTTACAAACTCCTTTCCCTTCCCCTCCCCACAACAGACACCTTGTGAGGTAGGTGGGGCTGAGAGAGCTCTTGACAGAAACTGCTCTTTTTCAAGAACAGCTCTTATCAGAACTATGGTTTGCCCAAGGTCATCCAGCCAGGTACAAGTGGAGGAGTGGGGAATCAAACCCGGTTCTTCCAGATTACAGTCCGCGGACTTAACCACTACACCAAACTGGCTCATAAAAACAAATGGAATGAAACAGACAGAATAATTAAGGTTAATGCATTTAGGTTTTTATTCCAAAAGATCAGAAAGCAAAAAAAAAAAGACAGGCCAGTCTTGCCTTTAATGTCACTGACAATCTCTTGTTCCCCCAAGAAGGGTGGGGGGATATCCCCCCTCTCCTCCCAGATGTTAGCTCCTTCCAATTGGTTAGGGGTAAAACTATTCCCCTTTGCCTGCCAGCCAATACTTCCAGGAACGAGCACAATGGTTCAATGATCCACTCCAACGGGTTCCTTCCAAATGGCTCCTGCTCTCAGACCCAGCTGCGCTGCTGCTGCTGGTGCTTCTGCTGCACTGTCTTGGCAGCCAAGGTCCAGCGCTCCAGCCACTGCTGCAGAGTGCAGCTGAAGCGCCGTTCACCAGGAAGCGTAAACTGTCCAGGTTGCTCCCACCTGGAAAATGGAGCACAGGGGTGAGCAGCAAGCGTAGGGACACCCCCCCCCCGCAGGCACAAGTTGGGGAAGACCAGAGCCACCCTCTCAATCCACCCCCAATATTTGTGGTTTTCACATGCTACCTCATTTCCTTGTTGCCTGCAGAGGAGCAAAGGTCCATCAATGGCTATTAGCTACAAGTTATAAATGGAATACTATGTCTGGGGCACTGATGCTGTGTATTCCTGGTGCTTAGGGACATAGTTCCCTCTAAACTGTGCTAGTGGGTGCTGGTGCACAAAATTTTAACAGGCCGTGCAGGGATTACTGCTTCAGCCCACAAGGCATTTCTCCCTCCATTGGAAACAATGGAGGATGGGGGCACCTCCTTCTGGGGCCCATAGAATTGGACCTCCTGGTCCAATCCTTTTGAAACTTGGGGGTTTTTTGAGGAGAGGCACCAGCAGTGACGCTGTAAAAAACAGCCCCCCCGAGCCCAAGATACCCCCGGATCAATTCTCCATTATAGGCTATGGGGCTCGTTGACTATAGTCCCCATAGGGTACAATGGAGCCGGAATAAATGATATTTTTTTTTGCACACCTCTATTATGCTTTTCAGTATGATTTGTAAGCTGCCTTGAGTCACAGGGAAAAGTGGGATATAAATATATGAACAAATAAGTAGTGTGGGGCAGGTTGATAACATTTAAACAACTTCCTGTTTGTTAGGTTAGGCAGGGTTTTGACAGCGATTGTTCCTCTTGTGTTATACTTGACCTGTAATGCTGGTTCTCATATTTCACTAAGTAGATTGCAAGAGGGCCCCCCCCCCCAGTATGTTTTTTAAGGATCAGCACACGGTGACAGTCTGAGGTCAGAGCCAGGGCTCTTTTTGTAGCAGGGACCTGGAAAATGGAGCACAGGGGTGAGCAGCAGTGTTCCCTCTAAGCTGAGTTAGTGTGAGCTAGCTCACCGTTTTTTAGCCTCTGGCTCACAGATTTTTGTCTTAGCTCAGGAAGGATGGCTCCAGAGTGTCGCCTAATATGCAAGGCGATCCTGCTACAAAAAGAGCTCTGGCAGGTAGACTTGTTCTCTGAAGGGGTGAAATTTGACTGGGTTTTATTTTCTCTTCTAATCAATGTTCCCTCTAAGCTGTGGAATCTTGTGAGTGGAAATTCTACTTTGTGAGCTACGGTCATTAAAGTTGCGAGGGAGCGATTTGGCTCCTGCATAAATTAGTTTGCTCTGGAGCCCATCCTTCCTGAGCCAAGACAAAAATGCGTGAGCCGGAGGCTTAAAAAACTGAGCCAGCTCACACTGACTCAGCTTAGAGGGAACACTGCTTATAATATTTAAATTATTCTTAAAATAGAGTTTAAATTTAGAATAATTCTGAGATTTTCACAAGGTTATGTAAGTAAAACTTCTAAAAAAATTAATTTATGTGATAGTCAGAGATGTAGACTCACTCACAACTTTAATGCTACTAGCTTTTTTTTTTGCTCACGAGGTAGAATTTCTGCTCACACCACTATTGAGCTTAGAGGGGACATGGGGGGGGGGCAAATGTGGGAAGGCTTCTGGAGTTCTGGCCTCACTGTGTTTTAGCCACTGTGTGACACACAGCGTTGGACTAGATGGGCCACTGGCCTGATCCAACATGGCTTCTCTTATGTTCTTATGTACCAGGGATGCTTTTAAAGTCCTGGGAGCCATCAAGCAAAGGTCTCCCTTGTTGCTCAGCACCAGCAGTTTTGACTTCCAGATAATCCCACTGGCTTTTGCCACATTCCTGTGCACTGCAAAGCACTCTGAGGCTTGTCCTAGGGCACGCCCTCTGTTTACGTGGTGCACTAAACTGGACCAAAGTTCTGCTTAAGCCAGCATCCTGTTTCTAACAGGGGACAGCCAGGTGCCCATGGAAGCTTAGACCGCGCATTAGGGCAACGGCCCTCCCCTCCTTGCAGCTCAGAAGCTGAGGTAGGGTGCCCCTGAACGTGGAAGCTCTCTTCCATTCTCACCAGTGATGCGGGTTTGCTGGGGAAATTTGAAAATGGAAATTTAAATAAATGTTGGCAAAAGGAGGCATACCATATACAAACTTGGATCATGGACTGGCCTTGCGGTCTCTCCATGCATCATATCCCACATTTACCCTAACCGAACGTGACCAAATTGTAGCACAAAAGCCCTGACAACTATAAACAGAGACAATGTTTACATACGTGGGGCGGAAAAAATGTCCACCCCAAAATACAGTGTTGTGCAAATACTGCCGCCCTGCATCGCTGATGCTGAACAGAACAGCCCACCTGACTTGTTTCCTGCGCTTTCACACATGCTGGATACTGTACTTTCAACCCACGATCTGTGCACTTTGCAACTGAATTTTTCAGAGGGAAGTGGGGAAATCCATTGACAAACCACTGCTGAAGTGCACTGAAAGTGGACTGGAAGTGCACTGTTGAATCTGTGTAAAAGCACCCTAGTGATGCCCACTAAGGTTGACTGGCTTCTTCCAGGGTCTTTCACTCTCCTCACCACACTCACCAGGCGTCTACCACGGCCTGCACCTCCGGCCAGTGTTCGATGCGGCACTTGCACTGCTCTGTCACCCGCAGGATCCGGGGCAGGAGCTCGCGGGCCTGCTCCTGATTGTGGGCCCACACCTCTTGGAGTAAGGCTGGAAACGAACAAAGGGCGTTGAGAAGGAGTTGGCATGGGAGGGACCCAATCGGGGCTATCTAGCTACCCAAACTTGGATGCAGAAGTCCCCGTTTCATCGACCGGCTTGGTTTGGGAGTTCTGAGAGCCAGCAGATGTATTGCAAAGGTTACTGTACTGTTTTAACCACCGTACTGTTAAGCACTGGGGGGGAAAATGTATAAAATTAAACCTTCTAAGTTGTGGCACCTGGCAAGGTGGACTCGGGAGGCTGTTCCACAGCTGGGGGGGCCCAACCAAGGCTCTTTTTGAAGAAAAAGCCCAGCAGGAACTCATTAGCATAACAGGCCACACCCAACAGCAGAAATCCATTAGCATATTGGGCCACACCCCTGACAGCACAGCTCATTAGCACATTAGGCCGCACCCCCATGTTACCAGAAGTGTGGTTATCCAGCTACACCCACCTTTTGCTTGTTATTCTGTTTACCTTGTTTGTTGTCAAAACCCAGGGCTTTTTTGTAGCAGGAACTCCTTTGCATGTTAGGCCACGCACCCCTAATGTAGCCAATCCTAATGAGTTTCTACTGTTGGGTGTGGCCTGTTATGCTAATGAGTTCCTGCTGGGCGTGGCCAACTCCGGAGCCAGCCGGAACTCCGTTCCTGTGCGTTCCTGCCCAAAAATAGCCCTGCCCACCACAATGCAGGTCCTAACCCTGGTGAGTGCCTCCTTCTCACCACAGAAGGTGGATGCATCCTGAACACAGCCTTTGCCGAAATCTCACCCAGTGGGCAGGCTCATATGGGAAGAGGAAGTCCATCCTCGGGTGGACCGACGTACAACCCCCCCCCCCAACTCACCCTGCACGTCAGGCTCTGGAGTGTTTTCCAGCTGGTGCTGCAGGCTTCCCATTGTCCTCTGCTTCAAGCCCAGCTGGGTACGCAGACAGAGGAGTGCCTTCTTCAGCTCCGCCACATGAGAGAGGAGCTGGTCGGGGGCCTGCAGAGAGGTAGACAAGGCAGGAGGAGTATGAAGGGAAGGGGAAAAGAGGGCCTACCAGCCCCCCCCCCATGACTCCACCGAACTTTACTCTGCCCAACTGGTCCCAGGGAGAGATGCACAAAACAATAACCAAGAAAGCACAGACCTTGTAAAGGGGGAAGGAGGCCCCGTTGCAGACGTTGGTGAAGGCCCGGTACTCAGCCGGTGCGGTCCGGTTCAGGCGATGGATCGAGAGTTCGTGGGCGGGGATGCGCTGCGACCTGGAAGAAGGGGAAAACGGGGTGCGGTGGTTAAAACATCCAACTGGGGTCCAGGAGACTCAGGTTTGAATACCTACTCTGCTGTGGAAGCTTGCTGGGTGACCACGGGTCACTGACACTACCGTGCACATCCCAGGCAAATTAAAAACAGCAAACGGGTCATTTCCTGCAGGAGCGCACAGGAGCAGAGCTCCAGCAGTAAAGAGCCCAGGGGGTGGGCACATGCAACAAGCCCCGCCCCCTGCTCCTTCTCTCCCTTTCTTTCCCTCCTTCTTTCCTTTTTTTCCTTTCTTTTCCTCCTTTTTTCCTTCTTTCCCTCCTTATTTCCATCTCTCCCTCTTTCTTTCCGTCTCTCTCTCTCTCTCACCCCGCACAGATCTGTGTGAGGGCAGATCTGTGCATTCCCC